TTCACGACACCACAAATTTGCACTCACCTCTCTTGTGTTCTCGGAATGTTCACGTGACTTCCCTCCAACCTGTTGCACGTGCAGTGTTTAGCTTGTGTGGTTGCTCGATGTTACATGCTCTTGCATAACACACCACATAACCACACAACTCTCAACAAACACTGCCACGTCACCACTTTGCGTTGTCGACAATTCTTGTCTTCTGCTCTGTTTCTTTCTGTTGGAGTGTTCATTCATCCTACATCCTTGTTTGCTTCACAACTCAAGTAAACACACACAACTTCCTCGTACCAAGACAAACTGCACACACAGCACACACACACACACAAGTCTCCAACAACAGCACCACCACCATGAACTTACAACAGTGGAGACCTTCGTCATCCACCACGATGCCCTCATGCTGCAGCCCGAGGGCGAGGAGGGCCACGCCATCGGACCAGTGCCACCACAGCTCTGGCTCGCTGACAGCGGTGCCACGGCGCACATCACCAGCGACGCCTCCCTCCTCACCAACTACATCGCCGTCACGCAGCACGTCACCGTTGCCAACAGCCAGGCCGTCACGGCCATTGGCAAGGGCGACGCCGTGCTCCGCGTGACTGGCACAGACGGCGCTCCAGGTACCATCACGCTCAAGAACGTGCTGCATGTCCCCGACATCAAGTACAACCTTCTGGCGCTGAACCTGGTGACTCGCGCGCGTCGTGGTGCTTCCGTCGTCATTGCTGCGGACGACAGCCGCATCCAGTTTGCCACATGGAGCGTGCCTCTGCTGCCGTCCAAGGACACCGGCCACCTCTTCCTCTATGCCAGCACCACGACCTCCCAACAAGCCACGGCGCTTGCGGGGGAGCTCGTGCACAGCAGCGATGGGGAAGCCGAGGATGCTGACGAGGGCGCCTCTGCACACGACGTGCTAGGCCATCGCAGCAGCGCGGCCGTCGACGCCATCCGGCAGCAGATTGCCCAGGCCTCTTCCAAGCACATCGTCACCTGTGGACCATGTGCGCTTGGCAAGAGCACGCGGGCCTCCATCCCAAAGCAGTCTGCTCCACGCAGCGCTGGGCCATGCCAGCTGCTCTACGCCGACATCGCCGGTCCGCTGGAGGAGACGTCGCTGCGAGGTGCACGCTACGCGCTGACCTTCATCGACGACTGCACGCGCTTTGCCTGGACGTTTCTCATCCGGCACAAGAACGACGTCGGTGCGGCCCTGGAGCAGCTGCGCAAGGACCGCCACGTCGTCAACGCGCTCCGAGGCGCCACGCTGCAGACGGACAGCGACGCCGTCTTCAAGAGTCAGGACTTCACCGACCTGTGCCTGGCCTTCGACATCAAGCAGCGCTTCTCGCCACCGCACTCGCAGGCCAAGAACGGATCCGCGGAGCGCACCTTCCGCACCCTGTTTGAGACGGCGCGCACGATGCTGTTTGCTGCGGACCTGGACAAGCCGTTCTGGGGCTTCGCCGTGCAGCACGCCACGCTGCTGCACAACATCGCGCCACGCAGGAGCCTCAAGGACAAGTCACCGTTCGAGGCCCTGACTGGGCACGCCTTCGACGTCAGCCTGCTGCGTGTCTTCGGCTCGCCGGCCTACGTGCATGTGGAGAAGAGCAGCACGCGGCACAAGCTTGACCCACGCTCACGCGTTGGCGTCTACGTCGGCTTCGCTGAGGAGGACCAGGCCCACGTCGTCTGGATGCCGGACACGCGACGCGTTGTCCACACCATCCACGCTCGCTTCGGCGCCATCAAGAACAAGGACGTCGCCTCCTCTCAGCAGCAGCAAGAGCAGGACAACAGCGGTGCCTCTGCTTCGCATGCCAACAAGACCGCTCAGCGTTCAACCGAGGACAGTGCCACCGGCGCTCCCACTGCACCACGTGCGGGGGAGCCGCAGCTCCAGCCACGCGCCCTTGGCGGCTCCGTCTGGGACCAGCTGCTGTTGTCCGAGACCCTCGGTGACAAGGACACCCCTGGTGGCTCAACCACCACGTGTCACGTTGCCACCAGCGCTGCTGGTACGGGGGAGAAGACATCAGCAGTGGGTGGTCATCTACCAGACATCGCTGCTGGCAGTGTTGCCACGTCAGCTGAGCCAGCCACCGTCAAGGAGGCGCTTGCCTCGCCAGACTCTGAGGAGTGGCGCCAAGCCATCCTGGACGAGTTTGCGGCAATGCAGGCCAATGACGTCTACGACGTCGTGCCTCGCGCTGACCTTCCCAAGGGCCACAAGCTGCTCCGCAGCATGGTCATCTTCCGGAGGAGCGCGATGACCAGGCAGGTGATCAGTACAGCGCGCTGGTGCCAGGGCTACTCCAGGTC